TTTTAATGAATTATGAATCTTTTGTCTTGGGGCGGGCAATAATGTTCGCACTTCGATGAAAATGTTATTTTAGGTTGAAAAGTCAAAAATATTGATATAGGCTGTGTTAACAATATTATAGAATTGAGACTGATGCATCAATTCACGAAAAAAGCTATAATTATTTTTAAAAAGTAGTAAAACAGATCGCAAGATTTAAAATTAAAGTATAAAAATTCCAAGCGCTGCTGTTCCATAAAATTTATATATTTTTACGAAATCTTATTTCACGGATTCAAGTCACATCTCCAACATTGAAGTGTACTTTTTGAAGGTGTCAATTGTCGATTTATACGTATATTTCCATATCTGTTTCAAGATTTCTTTATTTCCTCAAGAATCCCGTATTTCGTATTCCATCCGTAACGATACAATGGAACTGCATTGTCATGGCAAGAAATTTTATTGAAGTCTAGATCTCTTTTGCCAGCTTCTTCCTGCAACTAGGTATTCTTCTATTTTATTTATTGGAATTTATTTATTTTACAACGAAAGAACGCCTCGCTATAGATGTCTTTTTATTATAAATTCTACGATCGAAATGAGCGAATGCCGGTGACAAAGGCTGGCCTTTTGATGGAACAATAAACCGATAGGAGCAAATGAACTATGTGGATGTATAAGATGTAATTAAATTTCTGTGACTAAGCTATTCTGTGCTTACTGCGCTGAAAGTTCTTTTTTATTTTCTTAGTATTCTAGAAATTAATTTACAAACTTTTTTATAACTTTTTTTCTTAAATTACATGCGTAAATAAGGAACAGATGTTAGAATTCTGATCAAGTTAAAATCAACCCTTTGTTTGAAACTTTAAGTCTAAAACTTTTATATACTCTTTAAAATACCTACTATGATACGAAAATAAAAATTATTTTTGTTAATTTGATTAAACTTAAAAGAACAAAACCATCAAAATCTTAAATATCCCAACTCAAAAATTTATATTGTCATATATATAAGATGATCATTGACAGAAATAATTTATAAAATGTAATAAAATTTTCACAATAAAAATATATGTCTTATATTAAGTATTGGTCAAAAACTAAACATCAATGATTTTATAATCATTCAAATCGGTTGTTCCGTATTCCCAAAACCATCGACGAAATTTTGTATCCGCACACACATACACACATGCACACACATACACACATAAATGCATCCATTTTTTTCTAAGATATACATTTTTTTTTCAATTTCAATTTAAACAGCAAATTGTCATTGTTTGTTGCACAAAATTTTGTTACTCCTTCATAACGACTATATTCGTCGATTATAGTTATCTGAATAAATATGTAATATTTTTGTATTTTCGAGACCATTAATTAATGAATTATACAGAGATTAATTATTGAATTATATAGAGATTCTCAAACTATGGGTCACGACTCCAAATAAGGTGTCACAGTGGAATTTCTGAAATGGCGAGAGTTTTTAATGTCAAATATTTATATAATTGTATCACGTCTATATTTTTGTATGTTTAATGAACGAATTTTAAAAGTTTTAAAGGTATATATTTTTATATGTATATATGTATCTTTATATGTATCTATATAAGTATATGGTTACTAAATAAATAAATAATCTAAAAAAAAAATTTTTATTTGTGTGAGGTCGTCAAGAAACTCGCAATCAACAATGGGGTCGCAAAGGGCAAAAGTTTAAGAAACCCTAAATTCGACTATTGATTCTAAAAATGCATCATGGCAATTCAAGACAGTAGTAATGATCATATTTACTACAGTAGTAATTGAATAAAAATATGAGAAAAAATGTGGGAGAAATTCAAGAAATTTGGGTTTGAATCAGGAAATTTGGGGTATTTTTTATATTCAGTCTCATATTGTTGAAACTTATTAAAAAACACTTATTTTTATATACCTATGGAAAGCTAATAAAATTCACAATAAGTCGTTATATATAAGTTAATACGTTTAGAACAAAAATTATATTCTAAAAAATTGTTAAAATATAACATTAATAACCGATTCATAACTTGGACACGGTGTTATTAAAAATAATCTACTGTATCATCTACAAAAAATATGTATACCCTAATATTGATTCCGCTTAGAAAAGTGTTCGAATTTTTAATATTTTATTTCAAAATCGCATCTATGAAATCAATATGCACCACGTGGACAAAATTGGAAAAAAGGTCCTATTCGCAATATATAACCCGGTGCACGGGAACCGAACAAGCAACCCACATTTATTTCCACATATCATGAATAAAAAAAAGCGCAGGCCGCAACCGTGTGCGGCCATAAAACTGGAAAAGAGCCCAGAAAGGAAAATAAATGATCAATGGCCTGGGGCAGGACATCGAAATTAGGATTCGTAAAATTGAATACAAATGAAAAAGAAGATAAACTGGGGAAGAAAAGTGATAAAATACACTCAGTAAATACATCAGCAAAAGTTGTATCTATCTTGATGTGTGTAAGGCTTATATTTGGAATTGTTATTATACATTTTGCATAATGAACCAAAGGCTTCAATTCTCTGGTAAAATAGCCTACTTATATACAGACAGCTATAGAATAATTCTAGCAGAGGATCTCTTCAATGGAGGAGACCTCTAAACGCCAAATATAATTTATCACATAGGCATATAGAAACATTGTCTTCTGATGGTCTATTAAATAATAAATAAAAAAAAAAGCTCACACCATGACGTTGTTATGGCAACGCTATGTTGCGCTTCTTTCTTGGTACTAAAAACTGCCAAAATGCTACGTATTTGCTGTGCGATCAAGCGTTGTCATAACAACGTTATGTTACGGTTATTTTACCAGTGAATTGGCCCCACTAATTTCATATATCTACCTACATCCCTATTATCGCGTTAGCAAAATACAACTATAATATTATTATATAGTTTGCGAAAAAAATCAAAAATCTTCCATCCAAGTTGTTAAGTACATACTTTGCTTACACTACGAACGAAAAAAATAGAGAGTATATAACGCCCTTTCCGTGTTCTGTCTTTATTGTATTGCTGCACATGCCACGTACAAAATTTATACTCAATATGGTACGTAAAAACTTTATAGGTTTTTATCTCAGCAAGCAATAAACTAAATATGATGTTAAGTAAAAGTTGAAATAATAATAGAGTATCAAAGCTTCATAAAAAGCTTATAACCATAATATTTTGAAATACTGCCATCGATGGAGTATATATAGTAATTTCATCTTGCTGATTGATCTGATAGGAATAGGGAATTAAATGATAAAGAAGTGCATATGCACTAGAAGTACATATTTTCAATTTTAGTTCTTTTCTCTCATATGAACTTAATCAATTAATTTTTATAAATTTAATATCAGTAGTTCATAATTTTATCTCAGTGGTTAGGTAACACAATTATGAATTCACGAAAGTTGTATTAAATTTCGTTATTATTTATTACAAAACAAATCGTAATTTTTGACTCCACCCTATATGAATGAATGAGCAATATTGAAAAATAAATGCAAATCAATTTGATTTTCAATTTCATTTTTTTTTAATTATTGGTTAATGTATTAACAATTCGGTACATACTTTGGGCTTTCAAAAAAAATTTTTAAGTAATTTTAAATTTAATTTGATTTGGAAGTGAATATAATATACAATATATTATTATTTGTTGACTTACTTTATTTTTTTTATCACAATTAATTACTGCCAATATACAAAATGTTAACTTTCACAATGGCCAATATTTAATTAAACGATTATAAGTATAATTAGTTTTTAATATTTGAAAAATACAATATCAAGAATGGTGATTAGCATTCTTGATACCGTATTTTGAAAAAAAAAATTATATCTCGATAATTATTTATTACAAAACAATCGTAATATTAATAACTTCACCCTAAAACAATATGAATGAATGAGCAATATTGAAAAATAAATGCAAATCAATTTGTTTTTCATCATCCATTTCTTTTTTTAATTATTGGTTAATGTATTAACAATTCGGCACACACTTTGGGGCTTTCAAAACTTCTTTAAGTAATTTATTTTGGCATCTTGAAAATTATATCACGTTTGATTTGGAAGTTGATCACCATACTTTGTACTGTATTTTTTAAATATAAGAAATTAATTACACCTTATAATCATTCAACTAAATATTGGTCATAATGAAAGTTTTTTTTTTTATTTATGGCATTTGACCTTGAGGTCATTTAGCCTCTAATTACAGAGTTAATATATAATAGAAGTTAAAATCTTGCATATTAGCAGTAATTAATTGTGATAAAAAAATTAAGTAAGTCAGAAAATACCTACTAATATATTGTATATGCAGATCAAATGTAAATGTGTAAATATAATATCTTCAATATTTTTGCAAATATCTTCCTATATTCTCATTTCACACATATGAAACTGGTTTCATCAGTAAAAACTGCCTCTCTCTAAGAAAATATTACTTGCCCTTTCTAGGGACACTAACATGAGTGCTATAGCAATATAAGATGATTTTTTATATTATATGAATGCTAAATCTTTAACGAGAAAACAAGTAATGATTATGGTACAACATGTACAAAACTTTAAGAAATGTCTACTGTATCTGCTTATTAGTTGGTCACGAAATTTTAATTAGTATTGTTAGACTGATTTTTAGTAGTAAAGCTGCTGAGAATGCTTTCTTTCTCATAACATAGAAATGCATTTGTCAACATCTTTAAATCTAGTTAATCATTTAGAATCTGCACCAAAACGTGATGAAGTAGACATTAGTATAATGATACAATTATATTACAAACAAAATTCTATCTTGCAGATGAAATTGGACAAAAGCAATCAAATTTATCAAAACGATTGTTGCTATGAACTATAAATCCGGAAGTGTTCAATATAGTGTTCGTTTTGTGCTTTTAGAAAATGTATGGTGGCATTTTAGGTGAAATTCGTAGATAAAGCCGTTAATCGAATCCAACAAAAGTGACTTACCTGGAAATACACTTGTCCATTATCCACCCAGCCGACGACCATATCCGCTCCCGAAACACTGACTTCGTCGCCTCTTGCAAATCCCAAAGCAATGTAACCCAAAGTCCTAACTTGCACTTCAAACGTTATCTCTTGTGATCCCAGCGTCCAGAGCAGTCTGTAATCCGGGCTCAGATCTGCAGAATGAGCCCAATGTGCCGCGTCAACATTGCACAGTAATAAACTTGCAGCAAAGCAAAGCGTCAAGACGAAATTGCTATTTTTGTCGAAATCCATCGTAAGCGATCTGATCATTTTTCTAACGACAATTAGAAGACTTCACTGCTTTGCTGTCTTTGGCACAACGATTTCAACGTATTTGTAGATATACGTTTTAAAGATAACTTCTAAATGACACCACTGCTGGACGCATCCTGAATCGTGGACTCACTGAAAAGGAAACAAAAATAGGTTTAGTTATATGAGCGAAAATGGTTAAATTAATTGTGGGTTTTTGCTAAATTAGTAGAACTTAATATTTAGATGCCCACTTTATTTTAAATAGTGTCACGCATGAATAAATTAAGAGTAATACACATAAATAAGGTCTACAATAAATTGTAATATATAAGGACTTGTTCTGTATCCAAGATAACCTTGAAATCACTTTCCGAGTGCTATCAGCCGCTAAAATGTGAAAATAAAAACAAGCAGCGCAATAAATCCGACATTAAGTACACGAAGCACAGTTCAAGAGAATCATTCTGTTTCCTTTTGCTTATAATGCGATTAGAACTCTTCTAAAAGGGCGAAAATTGCCCTATTAAAGGATAATTGACAGTTTATAATCTCTTGTTTGCAGCTGAAAATGTACAATATTTTTTTGGTAAATAGAAAAACGGATAGGAAAGTACGTGGGATACGCATTTATGGAATACTAGAATAAATTATTCCACTGCTGAATTATATACTGCTGTAAAATTCTTTAGCAGTTTTATAATGCTTTTAAATGTGCATTAGGTAAGCGGTTAAGAGCGACGGGACTTGTTTCAGAGGTCCCGGGTTCGATACCCACTTCGAGCAGCCTGTTGTCAGGCAGCAGTGACAACGATTTTCACTTGGAAATATAGATAGCAATATGTTTCCAAATGAAAATAGCCCTTGCCCGGCATTTCTGCGCCAATAAAAAGTCAGCCCTATTAGATTAATTCTAATAACAAAAATCATCAAATATGGATGGATTAACCATTGAGTTACCATCTAAAAATACGAAATGAGGAGAAGTTTCAGCCCAATAGCTCATAGGACGTAAGGATCTGATTGATGTTAAAAATATAATGAAAAAAATGTGCATACTAACTATCTATACTAAAACCTACTGATGATATCTACGCACGCAATATGCTGAATTAAATTCGACGTATTATTTAGATATTTTAATTTGTATAAAAATGCACAATATATCGCAAACCAAGTTCACTTTCTCAATGAAACCTCATTATTTTCACTTTCCATATAATATGACATTATTCTGACCACAGTCGCTTTTGTCGAATATAAGAGATCACAATCACGCAAGCAAGAGAATAAAGATTCTTTTCTTGGACTTCAATTTGGTACAATTACTTGACGCATAACTACAAAACAGTATCAATTACCAAGTGACTCAACGTCAAGTAAGTATTATGTTACACATGTTTCCTTAAAGCGTCAAACTCTTCGAATTCCATCACGCCATCAATTTATGTATCGTCAATTATAAAATCCCACAAAATTCTCTAATGGTAGCAATCCAAATATCTCGAACAATGAGATCATGAACTCAAAAGACGAATCTTTGGATATGTAGAAAAAAATTTACGTCGAAACGAAGACGTCGCTAGTAATTATGAGCCAAGGTTAATGGCGGTAATTTGCTGCAAAGTGTAGATTAAGATTGTTGTTATATAACTTGGGAGTAATGTTTCGCTTCGTGGACTGATTACTTTTAATCGTAATGAAGAACTAAATTTTGATGCAAAAATAATATCCGTGAAAAGCTTCAATAGTTTATTTTATAATATATAATATTTTAAAATTTTTTAATTATAAATATATAAGAACAGCGTTAGTTTGTTAATTACAAACAAACAATTATCTATGTTCAGTACAATTTCCAACTAATTCATCAATAGTAGAAATAAGTTCTTTTCAAACAAATAAAATAATAAATACAACTTACTGAAATACATACATATTATGGGCACATTTTTTACAACACTCGGAACAATTAGTCATAAGAATTAAGCATCAATCGAGTTGGAATATTATATTAATTAATTAAATTTATCTCTTGTAAAACCTATTTTAGTTCATTTTCTATTGTCTTATTGTAAACATCTTGCTAGTATAAAGGTTCAGAAGGTCCTTTTTACTTCAACCACATGTAGCATTCTAGTAGGTATATGAAAAACTATAGAATCTATCTTAAAAATAACTATACACTTAATAAAACAATTAAATAATGTTCAGGTATCGTAAACTAAATAACACTGCTCAAAACAAAAAATCGATGTCACACGCTAATTGGTTTGGATGACGACTTAGACGAGCTTTGTATCTGGAGCAGTAATGATGAACTTATTCTTCTATAGTTGGAATTCTGAGATCTTGATGTATTAACCAGTTGGGAACATATTTTGGAACCTTCACGATTTCTTTAAGAATTTTGTCCGGAACCTCTGAAGAATAGTTATGTTTGATTTACTGGCTGCACCCATAGTTGTAGACCGTAGGACCATATCGGTTTAATAATTGTCAAACACAAAAATCTAACGAGGAACAAAATACTTGGTTAGAAAATTTGACAAGATGATGACGTCAAAATAGTATCGGTAAACTTTACGTGTATTTTGAATAATAGTGGTCGATTTTTTTGCTTTCGGACCTTCAAGTCGGACTACCTACTGAGCCTACACTACCATAAAATTTCGAAAGTTTGAAAAGCCCTACTATGTTGGTTTCTAAAGCTTACTACTAGTGTTATGATTACTACTAAAACACATTGCGATAGAAAAATGTGCCCAAAAAATGATGTGCCCTCCAACTGTCCACTTAGCCGAAAGCGCGCGTAAATCGTGCTTAAATACCAACCGCGATTATGCAATCTCGCGTGCGCCCCGCGGTTCTCGGCGCTTACACCTCGCATCTTCCTCCAGGTAAACGAATTGCGCGGTTATGCATACGAGGCTTGTTTATACATGCATGCGGGAAATGTATGTACATACATTTACATTTCAGACCGTTTCAACCAAC